AGTCATTTGTAGGAAAGTGGATGTGCTTGAGACCATAATGATAAGTGAAGTAAATCAGACATAGAAGCTTAAATTTTTCATGGTTTCTCTCACATGAGAAACCCAAATTATAGAGAGCAAAATAAAAGATATTAGAAGGTAGAGAGAAAGATCTTCCTCAAAGTGGAAGAAGATTAAGAGATGGAAGAGGGAGGGGAGGAAAAGGGATGAAAAAATAAATTAAGATGTGTTAATGTTTATGTACCAGCTCCACAGAAGGAATATAAACATTGTTTACTGCAAGCACACAATAAAACTTTTTTTAAAATCCAAGCTTCTTTATGTGTACAGGAGCATACTTTTCACCTGACTCTTCCTACAGTAATTGTGAAATATAAGACTATGAAGTCTATTTTATGATAGTTCTGAGAATAATCTGTATTTTATTAAAATACTGTAGATATCTTACAATAGCTATGAAAGATGACTCAACCAGGCTTCATAATCCTTCATTAAGCACTCATTCCTGTAAGTGCTCTTCATCTCTGGGATTATTTTGAAAATATTTTCTCCTTTTCTTTAAAATGTACAAACCATTTGTATTTTATCTTGATTTTTTTCAGTGGGTATTAGAAGGGTACAGAAAGAGTATTTGTGCAGATTAAGTATAATTTAATCTGAAGTGCAGAGAACAAAGAAAAGTAAAAGTGAGAATGTGACTGTGACTTCACAGTTGTGCAACAATAAGTGTGGGGTTGCACACTTACAGTAATGCTGCATTATAGACTCCCCCCACCCCATGCTTCCTGGGCAGCAGCCAGCGTGTCAGTCACTCTGCTCTCATCAGTGTAAATCCTGTCTTGCTGGGTGCTGACACGTCTATTTAATTACCTTTTTTTTTTTGAGTACCACTTAGACTTTATTTATTGTATCTTCCCAGGGAAAGGAGAAAAGATGGGCATGTTACAAAGTAATAAGATAGAAAAGGAAGTAAATATAGTACTGGGATATAGCAAAATCAACCATCAAATAGATATCCCAGTGATGAGAGTTACCAAAGCCCAAGGGGGCTAAGTCTTGGGGCAGTTTAGGAATGATGTGTAGTATTCAGAGAAAGAACAGACAGGCTCTCCATTTTATCTTTCCCTATAAATTCAAGATTTCACACAAAGTTTTGGTTTCTAGTAGTAAACATGGGGTTACATTTGTCCATCTACTGAACAAGTTCAAAGCCACTTTGACATAAGTTTCTTGCACCTGCATGAAAGATTCTGAGTGACTTGAATATATGTTCTTATTCTCTTCCCTGGTCTCCTGACTCCACTTGCTTCTCTCTAGGATTACAAATTGAGTAGGTTTGATCTATCCAATGTCATCTTTATCATGAATTGCATCAAATAACCATCTTGACTCAGATGGTTGGGAACAAGGAGTAGGGAGGGACTCCTTGCTCCTTCAGAATTTCTGCATATGTCATTTATGAGTTACAGAGACTCCAAGAATTAAAAAGGTATGTGTAGGTGTGTAGGTTTTCTTTGAGAAAGAAAAGGGTAGGAGTCAAGTTTTTAGGGCAGATTTGGTACCAAATAGGAAACAAGGGAAAGGGAAATATAAAGGAAGAGATGGTTCATATCCCCACTTCAAAAAGGGCCTCCTAGTTCAGAACCCTCTGTCAGAGATACTTTGGCTGTTTTTCTCTCAATACAAAAAAAAAAATGTAAACAGTAAAGCCCCCCCAAAACATGAAGAGACCTGACATACTCTATGTACACAAACGTGGTTACCTAGTAATCACCAACTCTGAGACTTAGTCTTACAAAGCCCAGACGAATACAGTAATTGAAGGAGGGATAGGATTTGGAGAAGATAAGAAGCCAGGATCAGACACACTACCCAATGCATTCTATTACATCTATCCCATTTCAACACAGTGACAGGTTTATGGTGATCTCACAGCATGTAAATGACACCACCCCTTTCTTTTTTAGCTACCAAGACTAATCATTAGTGCAGCAGGGAAAAACATTGGCTTCTAGTGCCACAAAGGGCTTCCCTGATGGGTCCCCTAAAAGCCAAGAATGTTGAAAAGTTCAAAATTTTTGTCCCTTGCTTCATTTCGCCACCCTGCACAGATTGAGCACAAAGGTATTAGTCCTAAAATTCAGCTTACCGACTCACTTTTTTAGATACAAACACACACACACACATATACCCTGTTGTGCATTGTAGAGCTAGGCCAGTGGTGGTAAACCTACGGCATACATGCTATTTATTTTTCTTTTAAAACAAAAGATGTCAATGTATGAATTGTTTTTTCTACACTAAAACTTCCAATATTCAGGTTTAATTGTAGGGTTGGCACTTTGCAATCAGTAAGTGGGTTTTGGGTTGCAGTTTGGGCACTCATCTCTAAAAGGTTTGCTATCACCAACCACTAGGCTAATCTAACAAAGAATGGGTCAGATATGTAAAGCAAGCCTAGTATCCTAGGATTAGACAACCACCACCTAACCTTGGCTTCTTTTCTGGACCCTTCCAGAACTAGAAATTTCCAATTTTCTAGTTGTTTAATTTCCAATCTTCCAGTAGATCAAGTCATGGGGCAACCACTTTAAAACCTAGTCTCCTGTGAAACATTTTCAAGATAGAAAGAGTTCCAAGAGGATATTATGGTAGAAGACTTAGCTGTAATAGGCAGAAGGTACCTATCCACTTGGATAGGCTGTGCATTCCAAACATTTGTTCTTCGTAGTAATAAAAACAAAAGTTATTTCTGCTGTGCAGACCTGGACCTGCTGCCTGCTTATCCTTGAGAATGTCCATGTACCTGAGAACATAATGCAGGAATGAGGGCCTTTGACTAAAATATACAAAAGTACAAAACCAGAATACTTTTTTAAAAAGTTAAAATGTACAAGGTAATGTCATTCATACACTGTGCATTTGGCATCCTGGGGAATGTGGGAACTAAGATATACTTATCCAAAGGAGTAAGTAAATAAAATCACATTAGTCGAAAGGAGTAAGAGTGAATTAGTGAGTGAGGAGCTTCAGGTCTGCAGCCATTCTCCTAGCCACCCTCTTTGCCTGTCATCAGGTCCCATAGCTAGGAACAGTTCCCAGCTCCACAATGCAAGATTGGGTTATGAGGAAAGATGATTTTCTGATTATTCAGCAAGAGTGGTTATATCACTTAGTTGTGCTCTTCCCTTTTATTAAATAAAAGCCATTCATTACTCCATGACTCTTTCCTAATACTTCTCGAAAGACCATTACTATCAGAACAGATGGCTATACCTGTAATTACTGTTTCTTTTGGGACACTTAAAATAATTAAAATTCCATGTGCTAAGCATGTAGAGTTTTATAATAACATAGTTTGAAAAAATTTAAATCTTAAAGGCTTAAAAGAAAAATCACCTTACCCATGACCTATAAATTTAAGTTTACAACCAAAATTTCAAACCTGTCCTTGACTTTGTACTCCAGAAACTTGTACAAAAACAGAAGGCAGTATTGTTTTATTTATCTAAAAATAATTATGTATATCAAACATAGTATTTTTAAATACATTTACTGGAAGTATATTATGTGCAGTGTTGAGGGACGTCAAATGGGATGCAGTGGTAAACAGGAAGAGTGTTCTGCTTTTGTGGTGCTTACATTCAAGTATAGGAGTCAACAAAAACATACAATAAATAAGCATGAATTAAATTTCCCGAGCCATTGATTGTTCAGGAGTAAGTTGCTTAACTTCCATGTGTTTGTATAAATTCTAAAAATTTACCAGTTACTGATTGGTCTTTTTATTGCACTACCATTAGAAAAGATAGTCTATGTGAACCAGAGTTTTAATTTTTTTTTAAAGTTGTGATTTGTTTTGTGTTCTATGTGATAGTGAGCAGAATATGCTTTTTTGCAGCTGTTGAATGATGTATTCTGTAGATATCCACTACGCCTGTTTGTCCAGGAGCATAGTTAATTCTACTGTTTCTTTGTTGATTTCCTACCTTGATGATTTTGAAAGTTAAGAATTACAGTGCTCTTTCTGATAATTCTGTTGGAATCTGTGTTTCCCTTAGGTCTGTTAATATTTGCTTTATATATTTATTTGCTCTGATGTTGAGAGCATATATAGTTATAAGTCTTATATCCTCTTATCAAATTGACCCCTTTATAATTACATAGTAACCTTTGTCTCTTTTTATTGCTTTTGATTTAAAGTCTATTATCTGAAATAAGTATAGCTACTTCTGCATTCTTTTAGATGCCCTTTACAGAGAATGTATTTTTCAACCCTTTCACTTTCAATCTTTGAATATCCTTAGCAGTAAAGTGAGCTTCTTGTAAGTAGCATATAGTTAGGTTTTAACCATTGGAGTCTGCTCAGTATTGTGTTTCACTGGCCTGGGACTGAGTCCTAGGAAAAGTGCTATTATTATTTTGTTCCACTCTCAAGGGATGGGACTTTCTCTGCATTGTACTATTCAAGTTTGGTCAAGGGGTGGTAGGGGCAATTACTTGGCCACCAGGCTGTGGTCCTCAGGCTCAGTCTAGGGGTACTAACCAGGGGAATGGGATTGTAAGGCCCTATCTGATCCTGGATTGCATCATGGTGGGCTATGTACTGGCTTTGAGTCTAAGTCCTGGACCTAATTCCCTCTTCCTAGGCTTCTCTTCATACTGTGTTGTTGAAGTTCAAGTAAAGATTCATGGGCAACTCTTTTCTTTCTTTTTTTTCAATGTGTTTTTTTATTATGTAAAAACAGAGTTCTGTGATATCTCACCTGGCTTTCTTAGCTCTCCTCATGAAGGTAATTTCCTACGTGAATAGTTCAGATGGATGTTTCTGTGGCAGAATGGCTTGCTGGAGCATTTTACTGTGCTGTCAGAATACTCTGCCTTACTGTTAAAGATTTGATATTGTTGTGAAACATTTGATGAAAAATACTAAAGCCACTTGTTAGCTTTGCTTTCTATTTCTTCATTTATTACCTCTATCTCATTTTGTTTTGTTTTAGATCACTGTGTCCACTACTATGATCTTCGTAACACTAAACAGCCAATCATGGTATTCAAGGGACACCGAAAAGCAGTGTCATATGCAAAGTTTGTGAGTGGTGAGGAAATTGTCTCTGCGTGAGTATTACTGTCCTTAGAGGATGAGCTTAATACAGAGCTGTCATCATTTAAGTTTGTAAAATCACTTATCAGTGTATGTGAAGAAAAACAATGGGTTTTATGCATTTTTTTCTTAAATGATAGATACTTATATCTTTTCCCATTAAAGTACATGTGTGTTCTGATCTGAATTGCTCATTTGTATATATTGTATTTAAATAAAATACTGTAAATACCAGTTTTTAATGTTGCCCCTATTATCTATTCTATATTTAATTTTATTTGAATTTCAAATTGAATTTCACTTAGTGCTTCTCCTGAAGAGAGCAACATAGTTGATGCAGTAAAATGAGAAGCATTTTAATTATTAAAGTCAACTAATTTTACTATATATCTAATTACAATGCAGTAGTAAAATTTTTAGTTTCGAGTCATTTTTTGACTTGTATACTGACATTAATTTCTCTGATTTTACTGTGATTTTTTTACCTCTAGGTCTCTGATCCTTTTTAATTTGATTTTAGTGCAGGGTGGGAGAGATACAGATCTAGATTCACTCTTCAGTGAATAACCAGGTTTCTCAGCACCATTTGTTAAAGAAGCTGTCTTATTTTCAGTGTATGTTTTTGCTGCCTTCATCAAAAATTAGATGGCTGTAGGAGCTTGGGTTCTCGTGCATCCTCAGTTCCATTCCACTATTTAACATGTCTATTTTTGTGCCCCTACTGTGCTGTTTTTAATACTATAGCTTTATAGTATAACTTGACATTGGAATTGTTATACCTTCTGTTTTGTTCTTTTTAATCAGAATTGCTTTGACTATTTTGGATCTCACTGTATAAATTCAAGGATTTTTTTTTCTAGTTCTGTGATGAATGCTGATGATATTTTGATTGGACTTATATTAAAACAATATATCATTCTTTGTAACAGCCATTTTGGCAATATTCATCTATCAAGGGTTATCTTTCCTAATGCCATCTTCAGTTTCTCTTTTTTCAGAGTACGGTAGTTATTGTTAGAGGTGCTTACTTTCTTGGTTAGGTTACTTCCTAACTGTTTAATATTTTCATAAGCTATTATAAGTGGGATTGTTTTTCTCATTTGTTTGTCATTGGGTTTATTGTTAGTGTATAGAAATGTATTGAGTTTTGTGTGTTGATATTTTATCCTGCTGAATTTATTAGTTCTAACAGTCTTCTGACAGAGATTTTCGGGCCTTCTTTGTATAGCACCTTATCATTTTCAAATAAAGATAGTTTGACTTCTTCCTTCCCTATTTGTATCCATTTTATTTCTTTATCTTGCCTGCTTATTCCAGCTAAAGTTTTGAGTACTGTATTTAGTAGGTGGTGAGATTTGTTTCTGATTTTAGAAAAAATGCTTTCAATCATTCCCCTTTAGTATTATATTGGCAGTGAGTTTGTCATAAATGGCTTTTTGTTTGAGGTAAGGACCATCTATGTATTTTATCAAGAGGTTTCATCATGAGTTGATACTGGATTTTGTGAAAGATCTTTTCCATATCTATCAAGTTGATCGTGTGATTGTTGTCCCTTTGTTTATGTGATATATTACATTTATTGATGTGTGCATGTTAAACCATCTTTGCATACCAGGGATGAAGCCAACTTGATCATGATGTATGAGCTTTTTAATGATTTGTAGCATTCTTTTGCAAATACCTCTTCAAGGATTTTTGCATCTATGTTTATTAAATACATTGATCCAGAGTTTTCTTTTTTTGTTATTGTTGAATCTTTGGTTTTGGTAACAGAGTAATACTAGCTTTAGGGAATGAGCTTGACAGTGTTCCTCCTTTTCAATTTCTAAGAAGAATTTGAGGAGTATTGGCATTAGTTCTTTCCTGAAGTTCTGGTTAACTTAAGTAGTGAATCTCTTGAGTCTTGGCCTTAGTTGTAAATACATTTTGAGGAGAACTTTCTAAAATGATTATCTATACCTGACAGATACACTGAATAGCCTACCGGACAAAAAAATTAAAATATAAGCTTTTAGCTATCTTTTTTTACTTTGACTGAAAGTGTTAATGAGATGATACACAAGTGTCAGTCGTCAGAGTATTGACAGAGCTCTTCTGCTATCATAGGTAGTCTAGTTTTATAGGTTTCCATCTCATAATTCTTCATTCTATATCATCCTAGTAAATACCCATTATTAATTTCTCTTTTATAGTTAATATTTCTTCTCAAATTTAATGATACATTTTTTAACTTAGTTTTTTGTTTATCTTAAATTATTGCCAATGCCATATATTTGGTATCTCTGACCACATCTACCTCCACACTGGTTGCTCTAAATGAGAACTTGAAAATTTGAAATGTTTTAGCAAGGTAAGGTGAATTGAGGTACAGAAAGGGCAAAAATTTAAGTGGCAACTGAGCTTTCCAAGGGGAAGTAATGTGGGTGATAAGTTACAAATTTAAATTAAGTGGTAACCAGTCAAAAAAGATCCTACTTTTTTAGGAGTAAATACAAAAGGAATAAATAAATATTATTTGTATTCATGGCAAAAAAATATTTTTCTTCAATTTCAGACTTACAGGTATTCAATCAGTTTGACTCAGTTAATTGAAATATATGTGTGCTTAATTGAATTGGAATCTTGGTTGATCTTAATAAAATGGACATGTCATATATATTTTCACCAATCATTCTACCCTCTTAGTTTTTATAAATCACAGTGATTTTTTTTTCTAGGACAGATCTGAGACTTAGAAGTATTAAGAACAAAGTCATCCATAAGTGCATTTGTGAATACTAAAATTAATACCTAAATATATTTTAAAACCTAGACCTAAATGGATATTCACTGCAACACTGAGCAAAACAAATTGAAACTAATGCTGAAAAATAGATGTTATGTTGAAAGATGTATGAGAAACACTGGAGAAATTGTAAAGAGGAATTTTGTCTCTGAAATCAGTTTGAGTCTTGGCTGTATACTACTAACTTTGATATCTTGAAAATATCCTTAAATTTCTAAACCTAAGTTTTCTAATTCCCAAAATGGAGCTAATAGTACTCATATTGTGAATCCTTAACTAAAATATGTAAAACCTTTACCTGGTATCCTATTCAGTGAATGTTAGAGTAAGAAATAATGTAGCATTTTTTGTGGTAATTTATAAGTTTACAGAAAAATGTAAAACAAGTTAGTCAATGCAGGAAGCAATTTACAAAATTTTATGTATAGTATGGTCTAAGTTTTGTAACAAAGTTAGAGAAAAAATAAGGTGTTTTAAGAAAGTCTTAAGATTGCATGAATATAATAGGATTGCCTATGATTTTTTTTTAACCACAAAATTATATTTTGGTAAATAACTGCATTTGTAAATTCAGTCGGCAGGATAAACTACATTATATACACATAGACCTTTCAGCCTCATCCCTCACCTGTAGGAATGACTGACCTGCAAAATAGTTTATATTCTGTATGCCAATATAACTAAACAACTCAAAAGTAAATTCAATCAGGAGGAACAAATGTATCCCTAAAATTAAACGCACTTCCCAGTAGAGCTTTTTCATTGTTTGGTGATGATGAGGTGGTGCTATTGATACCCCGTGTTTAAGAATCATGTCCTACAAACCTAAGCAGTGTCAAAAGCATTTTAAATGAATTTAATATTCACAGTTTCATTTGATTCATTTAATTCTGTAAAGTAGTAATCATTGTATTTCTTATTTAACTGATGAAAAACTGACACTATTGGTTTTATAACTTGCACAGAATTAAAAGCAAATTAATAGCATACTGAACATTCTAATATAGACAGTCTGGCTCCAGAGTCTAGTCTGGGATTGCCCTAATTATACATCTAATGCCAAGAAGTCTTAAATGTGTTGTAATTCTTTGTGTTTACCTCAGCTCAACAGACAGCCAGCTAAAACTGTGGAATGTAGGAAAGCCATACTGTCTACGTTCCTTCAAGGGTCATATCAATGAAAAAAACTTTGTAGGCCTTGCTTCCAATGGAGATTATATAGCTTGTGGTAAGCAAAACCATCTTTTAAAGGAACTTCTTAACAGATATCTGTTACTGTATTTGAGTTTGGTGGAGAAATATGATCTGTGTACTCAGAAGGCAGTGTACAGATAGATTTGATGCCCTAGCACTATGAATTTATCTTCAGGTTGTACTTGAAGAGTATTAGTCGCCCCCCTCCCTTTTTTTAAATTGAGCGTAAGTCCTGAATACATGATAACAGTGTAAGATTTCTAACCACGTTTTGTAGTTAATTATTCTCTATTACAACATAGTTTCTATAGGTTTATGTAGAAGACAGGAAAATTAATTTCTGCAAATAATATGCCAAGAAAAATATTTTTTTCTTAAGTTTGATATTAATTTCCCCTATCTAGTGTCCTCTTCATTAAACAATCTGTTTGAGGAGCATTGATCTGTTGTTCTAGGACTTTTATTGTTGAAAATTTATATAATTTTAAATTAAAAGAAAATAAAATTTGATATTCAAATGTTCTAAATACATAATGGACTTTTGTCAATGCTATTAAATAACTTGGGCTTCATTTAATAAATTGTATTCTTTCTACACGTGCAAATTTAAGCACTACCAAAGTAAATACTTGTGCAATAATCCTATCTTGACAGACTGCTCAGAAATACAGGTTTATAGACCACTCACCTAATAGAATAAGGCCTGAGTTGGGAAATGGAAAATGAATAGTGTAGATTATTCAAATCTGCCTTTCTAAGGAGTGTACTGCCACTTTCATTTTCCTCTCTACGTGGTGATCTTTCCAAATGTAGCTTAGGATTATTATAACTAACTTCTTGTTCTGCTGACCTCTGCTCTCAGTAATTTTTATATAACATTGGCAGTCTTAGAGTTATCAATATTGTTGCATCATTTTAGGCAAGTGCTATACCACTGAGCTGCATCCCCAATCCTGATTATTTCTTTAGATTAGGAAACTATAGCGTTTATCTAAGAATCCTTTTCTCACCTGGATTTCACCTATCCCTATGATCTAGTCTTTCAAATAAGACCATAAAATATTACAGGTTTTATTAACTAAAATTTTGGGTTATAATTGCTTTTTTTATGTCTTTTCTTTTTTCCTGGTACCAGGGATCGAACTTGGGTCCTTGCACTTTCGAGGCAGGTGGTGGCACCACTGAGCTAAATCCCCAGGCCTATAATTCCTTTTTGAGTGGTAGTCTAATTCAAAGTTCTCCCATTCTCTGAAACTATTTTTATTCTTTATTTTTAGGAAGTGAGAACAACTCCCTGTACCTGTATTATAAAGGACTTTCTAAGACTTTGTTAACTTTTAAGTTTGATACAGTTAAAAGTGTTCTGGATAAAGACCGAAAAGAAGATGATACAAATGAATTTGTCAGTGCTGTGTGCTGGAGGGCACTACCAGATGGGGTAAGTTGTTTTTCCCCCTTTTGTCGTGTTATTTAATATAATGCTTTATCTACACACAGTTTTTGAATATGTTGTATATATTTTGGGGAGGGCTTGGATTTTGTATTAGAGAAAACTGGCATTTTAGGTAGCAATTGAAATATCACTCATGCGGCAGTGTCGTGCTAGCATGATGTCCCATCTCTGTACCCAGAGGACCTTGTACATTCCTCCATTACAAACATTGTCTCTGTCTCTCCTGTAAGCCAGGGAAGGAATTCTTCCACTATATGTCATTTTTCTTAATCACCACTATATGTCATTTTCAAAATGCATTCGGCTGAGGTTATATTTTAGTTAGCAAAACCTGTGATGTAGGTAACTAAGTGTAACCCATACGTGTACCTAGGTAAATACTGTTTCAGGGCAGACTTGCTCTCTACAAATGCATTTATGTAAAATTATTCAACTATACTCTGGACCCTCAAGTCATGGCCAAACTGACATACAAAAAACTTGAGTTACAACCAGAATTTTAGTTTTAACTTACTACCAAAGTCTCAAGTTATGTCCCAAACACTGGCAACTTTTGCTTGCACATGATCTTAGATGCAGATTTAACCCTTAAAGAGTTCTGAAAGGAACATTACAATATCCTTTCCTGTGTAGAGTTAATTGAGAAATCCTGAGCGAGTGTCTCTCTAAGGACCCTGAAATCTTCCTGGAAAAAAGTGTGTCCTAAGATTATACAGGAGAGAGACTTTGAAGGCTGTTAGAGGAGCCTGGCCAACTTGAGTTACAACCAGCCCTCAGGAATGAATTGAGTTAGTAAGTTAAGGGTCCACTGTACTCGATTTCTTGACGCTACTGGGTTGATAAAAGCCATTTCTTCAAACTTTCTCTTGTTCATATATTTTAAAGTGTAAGGTTTTCCTTAAAATGTCTGAGTAAATACTCAAACTTTTTACTGTCTTGATTTATGTAAACAGTCATTTATAGTCATTTATTAGCATTGTCTTTCGAAAAATAGTTCTTTAGGTACTTTCTTGGTTGGTTTTACTGTGCTGCTGGAGATGGAACCCAGGTGTCTTGCATATTTTGTACCACCAGATTAGAGCCCATTCCCTAATTTTGTCTTTGACCCAAAATTATGACTTGATCTGTAATGTAAAATATCTGAGTTCCAGATGCAGTTGAACTTTAGTATATTCCATTTTTGTCTTGCTTAAAATTCTGTGACTCAATTCCCAATTTTGGTAATCACACTAGGTAGAATTAGAAAAGTTGGACTAAATACATGTGTGGTCATACATTGCATAATGGTATTTTGGTCAATAATGGACCACTTATACAAAGATGGGCCTGAAAATGTCCTAAAAACAAAACAAAAAGAAAGAAAACTGTAGGATAAGGTAAAGAAGAAACCTAACAAAATTCATGGCGAAGAGTAATAGACTGAATATACCATTCAAACTAACTAGTACACTGTACTGTCTAGGTTTCATAAGCGTTCGTTATAATGCTCTCACAAGGACAAAATTGCCTGATGACGCATTTCTCACTGTATAATTTATGCTGTTATATGACTTGTCTGTATTTTAAAAACAAAAATTTATCTGAAGGTAAGGAAAACAATACAGGGAAGAATCCGTGAACTAGGAATATGAGCGTATTTTGTATCTACTTTTCTCCTGAGAGCATTTATTGATCTTGGTGGGATGGGTAAAAGCACTTGAGATACCTTCACAGGGGTACAGAAATTGGAGCCCAGTGTATATCATTGTATATGTGACTACATTGTTTCAGGTCCCCAAAGGGGTATATAGTTCAGGGTAAACTAGTAGAAGATAAGTTTTCACATTTATTGCATTTCAGTTTTATAACAAATCCTGAATTGAAGTGAGGTGACACCCTGGATTGTTAGTGTCCACAGAATGCAAAATTAAATCCTCTCAGAAAGAAACATTGTTGGTTTTTGTTTTGGTTCTTAGGATCAAACTCAGGACCTTGTGCTTGAGAGGCAGGCAGTGGAACCATTGAGCTAAATCCCTGTCCCAACATGTTTGTTAATTTATTTTTCCAAATTTGCAAATATAGTAACTAAAGCCCAATTTAAACTAAGCAGACATAACAGAAACAAGGCAGTATGAATAAAAACCATAATAACAATCATAGCATCACTAAATATGGTTTATCAGACATAGCTTGAAATGAACATGCTTAAAAGATGAAAGACAAGATTGAAAATTTCATCTGGAAACTGAAAACTACTTTATAGATGAAAAATCTAGATCTGAAAAAATATTTCCAAAATGCAGAACTCAGTGGGTATTCGAATGGAAACAAAATAGATAAAAGAATTAACGAAGTGGCAGATAAGTAGGAGGAAATATTTAGAAGGAAAGATGGTGAAACAAAAGATAAAAAAATACAGAAAAGAGAGAAGATCAAGTAAGAATATTTAACGTATTCAACAGAAGATCTAAAGAAAAGAAATAAATCAGGAGCAAAAAATAGAAAGCATTATTGTTGAGGGCTTTACAGAGTTGATGAAAGACATCAAGGCAGTTTCAGTCAGCCTTTGAACCGCAGAGTATGAATAACTTGAAACATGCAGTGTGAGTAAAGGTTTAACATCAGCCCTGGACCTTGAGTAGACCTATCCTGTCTTTGGTCTGCCTTCTCATAGTACCATTTTCTTATATTAAGATATATTATATATATTATATGTGTTATCTATATGTATTATATGTATATTATATATTAAGATTATATTAAGATGGATACAGAATGGCAGATGCTAGCTACTGGTTATCCCTAAAGTTTTCTGTAAAAACCCATTGATAGTGTTGTATCTGGACTGGAAGAATCATGATTTGGCATTTTGGCCTCTCTGTCTGTGCCAGTTGAACAGCGTAAGGTGACAGAAAACCAAAGCACACTGTTGTTTTGAAGTAAACCGAATATACCTTCTGTTTCTGGCAATAAGTGTGTCTTTTCCTTGGGGATGGCAGAGAGGGCCAATATTCATATGACAGATTGCTTGACCTTCTGTTAAGTTTGAAGACACGATATAGGCTGAATTTTCCTAAGTTGTATTCGTTTATTAAGCTAAGTTAGTGCTAAATAAAAGCCACTTGTGACTGATCCTCAAGTAGCCCTTGCTTTTGGTGGGATATTCAGACCTTGGAATATGATAAAATTGCTGAAGATAAATACAAAGAGAGATCTTTTTCCCTTTAAACCATGTTTCTTTATATTTTTGACAAATAATTTCTTATGGGACACAGTGTGATAACTTGATATGTGTACAGTATAAAATAATAAAATCAAACTAATATAACCATCACAACATGCTTTTTTTGCATTGAAAACATTTAAACTCTATTAAAATTTTTGAAATATACGTTATTACGAACTGAAGTCAGTGTGCTGCACAGTACATCTCGAAACTTACTTCTTTTGTCCATACTGATAATTTGTACCCTTTGATCATCTGCCTTTCCTAACTTCTGATAACCACCATTCTTCTTTCTACTTCACATGAATTTGACCTTTTTTTCTACTCATATTGAGATCATGTAGCATTTGTGTTTGGCTTATTTCACTTAGCATACTTTGCTTTCATCCATTTACTACAAATCACAGGATTGTTTTCTTTCTATAGCTGTATACTTAGTATGTGTGCATATTCATTTTACTTCATCCACTGATCTGTTTATGGATACATAGGTTGATCTTAACTACTGTGAATAATGATGCATTGAACACAGAAGTGCAGATGTCTCTTTGATATACTACAGTACCTTTGAATATGTACCCATAAGTGGGATCGCTAGATTATAGTATGGTGGTTTTGCTTTTAGGTTTTAACAAACCTCCAAATTGTTTTCTGTACTGATTTGCATTCCTGTCAACAGTATTAACAAGGGTTTTTTGGTTTGTTTTCTTCATATCATAACCAACACTTACTTTCTTGTTTTTGTGGGGAGGAGCTACCGGGGATTGAACTAGAGACCTTGCGCTTGTGAGGCAGGCAGCAGAACCATTGAGCTAAATCCCCAGCCCTCACTTTTTTTTTTTAATGATAGAAATGCCAACAAATCTGAGATAGTATTTCATGGTTTTAATTGCATTTTCCTTGTTATCATTTGGGATGAGCATTTTTTTTTCATATAACTACTTGTTTTATGTTTCCTTTGAGAAATATTTATTCAAATCTTTTTCCTATTTTTTTAAACTGGATTATTTTCTTACTGTTGAGTTCAGTTCCTTATATATTTTAGCTGAACAGAAGCTTTTTAGTTTGTTGCAATTCCATTTGTCTGTTTTGTTTTTGTTGCCTTGGTTCTTGAATCCTATCCAAAAATAATTGCCAAGACCAGAATTATGAAACAGTTTTACTGTTTTCTTCCTGTGATTTATAGTTTCCATCTATTTTTAAGTCTCCAATCTATTTAAGTTTAGTTTTGTATGTGGTGTGATCCTTGTATGAGTCTAGTTTATTCTCTTGCCTGTGGATATTTTATTTTTCTAATACATTTATTAAAAAGACTGTCTTTTCCCCCAGAGAGATTCTTAAAAAAAAAAGCAGGGTAAATATTTTCCATCACACTGACAGAAAACTTCTCAGTGAGATAATAGAAGCAGGAAGGCACTGGAATTAGATACCAAGTGTAAAGCGTGGAATACCTACCAACCTAAAATTTTATATCTAGTGAAAATCTCTCAGAAGTTCGAATATAAGCATGTTTTTAGCTAAATAAATCTGAAAAATGTGCTATCATAAGACCTATACTAGAGAAAGCTCTAAAGGATATTCTTGGAACAGAAGGAAAAAGATCCCAGCTGGTCACATCTTCTGTACTAACATTACTTTGGAGTTAAGTAACAGAGATTTCATATGGTACATTTCTGTGGATCATTTTGTGGCAAGACTTTTGTTTGAAACCACTAGAATAAATATAGGAAGTTTTTAAGTATGCAGATGAGTATGCTTCAAAGTTATCATGTCTATATAA